TAATTTTAAATAGAAATAAGTAGTTTGTTAATTATAAAAGTAAGTATATATAAATAAAGATTAATTAAATATAATATAATTATTATTAGTAGTAATATAATTATTATATATATTATTATATATTTATAACGGTCTAGATACACCAAAATGATAAGGATCCAAAGATAGTATAAGTATGATATTGGATAGTTGAGGATGACTTAAATGAATTAATTTGTACTACTTATACTAACAACATGCATCTGCTTTTCGGTAGCTTATCTCATCAGAACTTCACAGTTAAGCGTGCTTGACTTATAGGGATGGGTGACCTTCTGGGAAGTTTCTAGAAATTGTGTAATTAAGGACAAAACATGCTAAAAAGATAAGTATTGTGAAATAAAATCCTTAAGAGGCCAAATATGAGTGGTTTGTAGCGATCTAATTTGCGACATCTATAAAATTTAATAAAATAAAAAAAATTAAATATTTAGCGACCGATTTATTCAATCACTAATTTGGTCATATACACTTCAGTGACCAAAATCATTGCAACCATTTTGCGATAGAAATTTTTGGTCACTAACAGCAACCAAAAATTTTTCCGTCGCAAAACAGCTTAGCGACTAGGGTTTTAGCGACTGATTAAATTCGGCCGCTAATTCGGTCGCTAAGGTAAATAGCAACTAATTTTAGAAATTGAGCGACCGATTTTGGTGGTCGCTAAATTGCATATTTTTTGTAGTGTCAAATGATAGTACCTTCTAAGCAAATCTTCTGAGTTAAATCTTCAATACAAGTTTTTTGAGAAACTGTTTTAACTAAAACCTAATAGATGGTTCAAAGTGTAGGTCTTATGAGCCAAGTCTTCAAGATATTTCTCCTAAGAAGAAATGTTTTAACTTGAACCTTTTTGAATAGAGACACAAGACGTTCATCTGCTTACTTAGGATAGTCAAGACCTTGGTGTTAAATGGCAGTGTCCAACAAATTGAATGATATCTTGTGAGGCTTCTAAACTGCTAAGTTTAGACACACTTCTAAGTACTTAGAAAAAAAATTCTAAAATACTTGAACAAAATTGTTAGTACTTCATAAGAGAACTCTTTTATATTAAAATTTGAGGCAAAGAGTTTGCCATTATTAAAACATATATTTAGGTAGGATTCAACAACATTCAATCTTCTGTAATCCACCATTGATTATAGGACTTCCACAATGTGAAAAGAGTTTTAATTACAATAATCAAACTTGATTAACACTAGATCACAAGACTCCTACTAACCCTTAATAGAGAACCCTAGTTTAGATTTGCAATTAGGAAACTTTTCCCTAACATGTATACTTGAAAACCCCTATCTCAAGCTTATAACATTTTCAAATGGAATAAAAAACTGTATAGAATTCTACATAAATTTCTAAAGCAACATAGTTTTGATTGAATAAACTTGTGTGAAGCCTTTCCAAATGATTTTTATGATTTCTTGAAACAAAAACTAAACTATGGATGAGAAGCTTCACAATCTTTCATTTTTTTGATCCATGGTATTTCTTTGTTTTCACTCACATGTGGTTTTCCTAATTATAAACACTAAGTTAAATTCAATTTTTTATATATGAATTAAAATTTAAGGTAAAATTTTAATATAAAAGAGGTTAATCAAATGTGTCATTTTTTTAACCTTGAGATACAGATTGTGACAATCTAATAGTCTTGAGATTTTTTTTAAAAAGAGAATCACATATTTCATAAATTAGGAGTCTTAATTAAAATTAATTTTAGTAATTTATCAACAAAATGAATTATTTAAAATTAAATAATATTTGACAGAAAAATAATTATTTAAATGTGACATTCTCTTAATCCAAGGGTTTATGGATGCAAGCTGCAATAACTTGTTATCTTAAAATTCTTGTCTAAATTAATTAAAATGTATAGTTCGTATTATTAATATTAAAATACTACTGTGGGATTTTTGCTAAATATTTAAAAGCATTGTAACAAAATTTATTAGAAGACAATTAATTTTTTTTGCCACAAAAATTATAATAATCATAATTATAATTAAAATTAAATATTTTAATGAATTGACTTTGGTATACACCTTTGTCAATTTATACTCTAGGACATATGAGCTGTGACAGTTCAGGAATCCTATTTTTAATAAAAATATAATTTAGTTAAAAAATAACAACACACAAATATTTTCTATAAAAGAACTATGTGACTCTGATTCTTCATTACAGATAGAGATACGTAGGACCACGACATCACTCCTGCCGAGCCAAAAAATAAAAATAATAATATTATCTCATTTTTTACATTAATAATAATAATAATAATAATAATAATAATAAACAATTTTAGTACTCAATTAAAATAAAGTAAATGCATTTGTTAAATAAAATACATTTGATTGTTATAGTCAATTTTGGTTAATCCGTTATGAGATAAATATTTTAAAAAGTTATGATAGTTTGCTTAATTAATTAGAGCTAATCTTCTTTATGGTAGACTTTCTAAGGTGTTAATACTTTCCTTACACGTAACTGACTCCCGAGCTCAAAATCAGATTTCGTAAACTATTTTTTTATTTTATGATTTTTCCAATATTTTTTTTTGTAAGAATAAACATTGGTAGTGACTCCTATTTAATTTTCAATCCATTTTTGTCATCCATAACGACCTAAATTGCTACACAGATATGATAAAGATAATGACAACGATAATAGAAAAATTATGATAACAATAATAGGTGCTAGTTTTATTTATTATATTTAATTTAAATAATTTATTTTAATTTAAGAGTTATTATTAATTATTATATATTCTCATATTAGTAAGTATTTTTATTTGAATTGCTCCCTACACATAATATTTTATGTTTTTCTATCTCATCTTTTCCTTTCTTTTTACTCTCATTTTTTCTAAATATAGTGTAAAAAATTGCAAAGATAAATGACATTATTTAAAACCAAATATTTATTTAAAAGTCACATAATTATTTTTTCTATTCACAAAATTGAGACTCAAAAACTCTTAAAAATTCAAGCTCACGGACCAACATGATGTTGGTATATTTACCTTAGTACATGGTACCTAACATTTACTACATTTTCAAAATAAAATAAAAATCTTAAACTTTTGTTTCATAAAAAAAACAAGTAAAAAATAGGATAGAGAAAAATAAAAAATGAAAATAAAAAATAAAAAATTTAATTGTTAAATGAAAGAGAAACAAATAAAAAAAATATATATGAAAAATAATATATATATATATATATAAATAAATAAAATTCACAGTGATTTAATTTCTCTTTACTCTATTTTTTCTCTCCTAAACAAGGCATAAAAGTCACATAAAAATATGAATAAAAATACCAAAATAAGCCAACTAAAACTAAATACGCGTTAATTTAAATTTCGATTTTCGTTTAGGAATGGGGGTTGGAGTGTCACTCTGAGGAATTTGATTAGCAAATTCTGCGAAGAGAAATCATCAATCATGGCAAGCGATCGAAAACCCAAACGAACTTCACCCTCCCAACACCAAGGTTCTGCAATTTCATTCATGGGTTCTGCAAAATATTGAAAAAAATTCGATTTTTATTCCTTTCTCTATACGTGTTTGTATGTGGGCATTTCGTTTTTATTTTTATTTGTTAATTTTGGTTTTGATTCATAGATGAAAAGAAAAGCAAGAGACATAGAACGGTAGAGGATGAGGAAAGGAAGAAACGGAAGAGGGAAAAGAAAGAGAAAAGTAAGGACAAGAAATCTCATAAGCATTCCAAAGAAAAATCTGACAAGGGTAAGTATTTTTTATTTTATTTTCATTTTTTAAAATGTTTTGCTTAACTGTAGTGGCTGCAGGACTTATATACATGCATATTTAGGTGTTGAATGAATATGATAAGGTTATGAGAATATGCAACCTAGACATTCAACGAATTGTAACATTAACCTTGTGTTAAAGTGTCAGTGATGTTGCTTCAAAGTGCCTTAGGCTGTGATAGACTGTGTAAGGGGTTAGGACTTAGGACCTTATCTCTACTTCAAGGAATAATTCCAAATAGAGGAACAATAAAAGGAAAGGGTTTATTTGTAGTGAACATCACCTGGAGGATCTTAAGTGATTGTATGGGCATGTGTGAATTAACTTCTTCATATGTACTTATATTATATGAGAAGAAAATAGGAAAGAAAAATGAGATTAGCTTTTGGGTAAGCTAAAATTAGCTTATGTTAAGTTAAAAAAAAAAACAAAGGTTTTTAGAGAAGCTAATATGGAAATTAGCTTATACATGACCTAATTATAGCTTATGGAGAAACTAATTTCATCTTTCCTTCGTATTTTCTTACTCGCTTCGTTTTTTTTTTCATTGATGTTTAAGGTTATCCACAAGAATTAAGAAAATGATTGATATTTTAGTTTTTCAAAGTATTTATTACCTATTTTCCTGATATACCCTTTAAGTTATTGGAGAAGAAATAGGTATATTGGAAAATGAATAGACACATTGTTCAGTAAACATACATTAATTATCAAGGGTAAAAATGAAAAAGAAAATTAATAAGTCATTGGTTTTAGAAAAGTGACAATGAAAAAAGAACAAAAAAATAGTGCCAAAACGACTATGAAAAAAAAATAGAGGGAGTATAATATAAGTGCTTATAGAGAACTTTATCAAAATAGACCCTAATATAGGTGTCTGAAATAGGTGAAGCTTCCTCACTCGTTCTCCAATTCTGTAATATAACTCAAAGGATTCAATTTAAATGAATGTGAATTCATTTAGGCTTACTTGTCATCTTGGACAGCGGGATTTCTTATTACCATGTCTGGTCTGCAATGAGTTTATAAAATGGATTTCCTACAGTTATAGGGCAAAGTGTGACATAACACATCACTATCTGATAGGAACTATGAAAATAAGATGGAAACTAATAGCATGTTGGGTTTGAATTTTTCAATGCTATTCTTCACGTCAAATGGAGGTAGCTCCTTATGGCTTCCATGTAAATTTAGATTTGGATGTGAAAAAATTAGAAAATGTGTACAAAACGCCTAACCAAAAGAGCATTAGGTGGAAAGAACAAAAGAGTACAACTGTGTTATTGAAAACAGAACAGAAAATGGAGAATAGAATTCTCCCTATGGATTCCCCTTTCACAAAGGATCTCGTCTTTCACCAAATGCCATCCTCCCCAACCTGATTTGCAGAATACCCTCTTTCAATCTGATTTTTGGAATAGTAATACTGTGCTGTGACAAGCTGTTGTTATCAGTATTCAGTAGCTCTGCTGTTTTCTGTATGGACTTCACCATCTGTTGTTATCACTTGTGTTTCAACTTTTAAGAATACAATTTTTGGTTAAATTTTTTTCTCCTACCTTTGTTATTTATTTTCCTGTCAAAGATTTTCTTTTCTAAATTGGTTTTGTAATTATTTTTGTAACACAAGTGAAATAGAGATGTCATGTTCTTTCTCTCTATTATGGATTTTCCAGTCTTCATTGTTTAATTTTATATTTGATGAGCGTTAACTTTGCTGTCTGTTGTTCACTGGATCAGAGTTATAGTTATTTTACTCTTCTATATGAAATGATATTCTTCTTATGGCAAAATAAATATCTATTATTACTTCAGGGAAGTCGAAAGATAAGCACAGGAGCAAACATAGTAAAAGTGATGGCCATATGGTGAGTTATATTGTATTGCTAATATTTATTAATGATGCTAGATGCAAAATAATCTTGGATTACTGTCATGATGTGTTTGTTTCAGATCCCTTTACTTTCTTTTTTGCATTCATGCTTTTTTCTTCAATAATTGCATATATTAAATGTTATTTAGCTTTGTTCTTCCACCCCCACATTTAACAACGTTGTTTTTCTACTAAATTTATTGATATTTGCAAGGAAAGCTTTTACTTTACTAGACAAAATATAGAAAAAATAAAACAACTAGTTCATGCTGCAACCTCCAACAGTCCTGTAGTTCTTATTTTGATGACTTTATATGGTTGCGACGCTATCATTATCAAAATAATTGAAAACTTTCGAGATGGACCATTCCCATCCACTCAAGACATGACATTCCTTTGAAAAAGCAAAACTGATTTCTTGTTGATTGACATACATTTATCTTGTTAGGAGTGGTTGTTGTGATTTTTTATCTATTGGTTCTGTCATTCTGTAGTATATACAGTTCATCTGGGTTACTTTGAATGTAGGGATTTCAAGAATTGTCAAAGGATGACTATTTTGCGAAGAATAACGAGTTTGCTACCTGGCTGAAGGAAGAGAAGAGCGTGTTTTTCTCTGATCTTTCGTCCGAATCAGCGCATGAAATGTTCTCAGATTTTGTCAAAGCTTGGAATAAAGGAAAGCTGGATTTGCATTACTATGAAGGCATTGCAAGTGGGCCTCGCACATCCCATAACTGGAATATCAAGAAGTAGCTTTAAACGTGTAAGAGCAATCATTCGGATCCAATCTCTGTATAACTTTTGTTTAGATTTCCTTTCTAACTACCAAGTTGAAACTTTTTTATCTGTGTAAATGACAATTCTGCATCAATCTTGAATAGTTTGTGGGGCTAAAAGGAAAAATGGTACCATAACAAGAACAGGTGAGTTACAAAAATCTTAGGGGATTTAGGTAATATTTGCAGTGGCGAGTAGGCATGTCACTTACCCTAACTTTGTTTTCTGTTAATCAATCTGACTGATTATAAGATAACCCAAGGATGATGGATAAATGTTGGATTGTTTTTTTTTGTACCGAAAAGATTTGTATCGGTTCATCTATGTAAATTGTTAATGAATCTTGGATTGCTTTGAACTTGAGACATTAGGAGCAGTTGGTACATGAAAAGTTTTTTCTTGTTCGAGAATCATAATTCTTAAGAATGATTAAAACATGTTTGATTGGTCATAAATGTTTCTAGGATATTCATATATGTTATTTGGAGATCAATTATTTTTAATACATTAAATAAGAAAATAAAGGAAACATTTTATTAAGTCAAGAATGATAGATTTTCACTTATATCCATGGAAACAATTTTATGGGAAACATAGGTAAAAACTATTCTTTGAAAATAATGTTTCTTGAGAATATTATTTTTTAATTAGTAAACTAAACATGAGAAATTAACGTTTCTAACTTCAAGTTTATGGAAAAATATAAAGAATTCTTTGTACTAAGCACTTCCTAAAGGTCGACAAACTTTAGAAGTCATTGCAATGCTCAGTTAAACTATCTCAATTCTGCACTCATAGTCTTAACTAAAACAAATGATTCATAGACACTCGTGTGACAATATACATCCGAAGAGCGAGGAGAGAAATATAGAAAAATAAAGTGTTTGTTTGGCTAAGAAAGGTTATCTTCTGTTTCTACCCATGACTGGTGGCATCCACTTCTCAAAGTATGCTGGAAGAATATTAAATATGCACCATGGTTTATTATTATTATTATTATTATTATTATTATTATTATTTCACTTTTGAGGATATAAATTGCACCATGTAAGATAACATGTCATGTAGTCACACTGCTTATACAAAATTATCTATTAAACATATTTGACGTAATTCAATCATAATAATAATAATCTTATACTTTATTATTATTATTATTTCTCTTTTGAGGATATAAATTGCACCATGTAAGATAACATGTCATGTAGTCACACTGCTTATACAAAATTATCTATTAAACATATTTGACGTAATTCAATCATAATAATAATAATCTTATACTTTATTATTATTATTATTTCTCTTTTGAGGATATAAATTGCACCATGTAAGATAACATGTCATGTAGTCACACTGCTTATACAAAATTATCTATTAAACATATTTGACGTAATTCAATCATAATAATAATAATCTTATACTTTATTATTATTATTATTTCTCTTTTGAGGATATAAATTGCACCATGTAAGATAACATGTCATGTAGTCACACTGCTTATACAAAATTATCTATTAAACATATTTGACGTAATTCCATAATAACATTACTTTGACTCTTTGGAAAGTGAGAAAATAAGGATATATTTACTCTTCATGTAAATTAGATTCAGCATATGGAGCATTTTAATTCAAATCAAGGGTGGACAGAAACCTTTATAAAAATTATTAATGACTGAAATTCTTATGTATATTTGAATGCCAACATGATTACTAAATAGCCAAAGAAAAAAACGGATAACAAATAAATACAAGTTTTGTTAGGTCTTCGGGGAGGACAGAAGGGGAAAGGGCATTATTCGTCCCTGAAGTTTATTGAATTTGAAAGAAAATGGGTACACAAAGGAGACTATTCCTTTCACACTGGAATCTGTCCAGTTGGGAAACTAACCAAAAAGAATAATCCCCTCCCCCAGCCTAAATAGGGGCTATTTAAAGAGGACCTAAACTAACTAATTGTTACTGAAAACCTAACTAATAGGTCAAAGGATAAAATAAGTTTAATTCCTATTTGTACCCTTCTTCCTATAATACACTTTTAACTTCCTATTTGTATCTTGTTGTTCCTGCTGTCTAACAGTACCTCCCCCCTCTAAAACAACCTTGTCCTCAAGGTGGAAATCTGGAAACTGAGTCTGAATGGTGGCTACATCTTCCCATGTTGCGTCTTCAGGCATTCTTCCTTGCCAGCAAATGAGAACTTGAGGTATTCTAGTCCCATCTTGGGTGATTACTCTGGTACCCATCACATCATTAGGATGATAGGACTCCTGTGGAACTTGTAACTCTGCTGGTAGGGCTGCTTCCACTATGTGGTTCCCAACAGCCTTCTTAAGTTGAGAGACATGAAATACCGGATGTATTCTAGCATCTATTGGCAACTGTAATTGATATGCCACCGCTCCAATTTTTTTTATTATTTGATATGGACCATAATACCTAGCTGAAAGTTTGGGGTGTAATTTGATTGGCATGGATGTTTGGCCATGTGGTCTGATCTTTAAATAGACATAATCTCCTACTTGGAACTCCACCGATTTCCTATGTACATTGGCATATTGCGTCATTTGATCCTGAGCTCGTGTTAAATAAAATTTCAGTTGTGTCAGAGCTTCATCTCTGTCTCTGAGGTCTTGTGCCACCGCCTCGACAAGTGTTTCTCTTGGAATAAATCGTACCAAGGAAGGAGGGGATCTACCGTAAACTACTTCAAAAGGCGAATAGTGTGCAGATGCATGAAAGCTTGTATTATACCAATATTCTGCCCATGGAATAAACTCTGCCCACACCTTAGGTTGTTCGGAACTAAAACACCGTAGATAAGTCTCAAGTGTTCTATTTAAAACCTCTGTTTGGCCGTCGGTTTCCGGGTGGTATGCTGTTGACATTTTTAGTTAGGTACCTTGCCGTGTGAATAATTCTTGCCAAAAATGGCTCATAAAAATAGGGTCCCTATCACTAATAATCGAAATAGGAATCCCATGTAACCGAATAATCTCTTTCACAAAAATGTCAGCAATGGATTTTGCGGAGTAAGGGTGTTTGATCAATATAAAATGCCCATACTTAATCAATCCACCACCACCATGATAGCATCAAACCCTTTTGAACGAGGTAAGCCCACTATGAAATCCATGCTGATTTCTTCCCAGATAGCATTAGGAATGGGTAATGGTTGCAATAAACCTGCTGGAGAAGAAGCTAGATACTTGTTCCATTGACACACAGGACATGCTGCAACATATTGTGTTATGGTGTTCTTCATGCCAAGCCAATAAAGGGATTGGGCCACTCGTCGATAGGTTCTATAAATTCCGGAGTTTCCTCTTGTAGGTGCAGCGTGAAATTCATGTAATAATTTGGGAATCCATGCGGATGTAGCCAATAACACTAACCTGCCCTTGTAGTGCAGTCTATCATTTTCCAAGGTGTAGTGTTTATAGGAATTTGAGTCGTGTAGCAACGCTGTTTTGATTTTTGCTAATTCCGGATCGCTTTGAACCTCCTCATCAATTTCCACTATATCTTGCCAAAAAGGTTTAGAAATTCTCTGTAATTCCTTTTCTTCCTCAAGTCTAGATAACGCATCAGCAACTTTGTTTGAAGCTCCCACTTTGTAAACAATGTCAAAATCATACCCGAGCAGCTTGGCTAACCAGTTTTGTTGGTTTTGAGTTGTAATCCATTGTTCCAATAGGTATCGCAAGCTCCTTTGATTAGTGAAGACCGTGAATTTCCTTCTCAAGAGATACGGGCACCAATGCTGAATTGCTAACACCAGGGCCATTAATTCCTTCTCATAAATAGATTTTGTGAGGTTGGAATCAGCGAACCCTTTGCTGAGAAATGCAATGGGTTTTTTCTCTTGAGTTAATACTGCCCCGACACCCTTCCCTGATGCATCACACTCAATTTCAAAGTGTTTCGAGAAATCTGGCATTGCTAAAACAGGTGCTTCAGTAACAGCTCTCTATAATTGTTTGAATGCTACAGTGCTTTGCTCAACCCAATCAAAATTTCTCTTCTTTAATAATTCTGTCAAAGGCCTAACAATCTTGCCATAGTCACGAATGAAGCGTCGATAATAGCCTGTAAGACCCAAGAAACCTCTGAGAGCGTTGACAGATTTTGGAAGGGGCCATTGTAATATAGAGTCAATCTTTTGAGGAACCATGGATACCCCGTCCTTGGCAATAATGTGACCCAGGTATGCCACCTTTGTTTAACCAAAGCTGCATTTTTTTTTTTAGCAATCAGACATTGTTCCTGTAACTTGGTTAAAACATCTCTCAAGTGTTGTAAATGTTCTTCCCAGGTGCTACTATAAATCAAAATGTCGTCAAAAAATACTAAAATGAACCTACAAAGAAAAAGTTTTAAAGTGGAGTTCATGATCTTTTGAAAGGTAGCTAGTGCATTGGTCAAGCCAAAAGGCATGACCAAGGATTCATAGTGTCCTTGATGAGTGCGAAATGCTGTCTTTGGAATGTCAGGTTCATGCATTCTAATTTGGTGTTATCCCGCGCGCAGATCGATTTTAGAAAAATAGGTGGCTCCCTTGAGTTCATCCAACAATTCTTCAATCATAGGAATAGGAAATTTGTCCGGGATTATGGATTTATTCACAGGGCGATAATCAACACAAAATTTCTCGCTTCCATCCTTCTTTTTTGCCAAAATAACGGGACTCGAGTATGGGTTGTTACTTGGCCTGATCAACCCAGCCGTCAGCATTTCATCCACCTGCTTTTCTATTTCGTTTTTCTGCAGGTAAGGATATCTATAAGGTCGCACATTGATCGGATCTACCCCAGTTTTAATGGAGATCTTATGGTTAGCATCTTAGTGTGGTGGTAATGCTTGCGGTATTGAAAAAACTAAATGGAATTCCCTCAAAATTTGCTGCAATTGTTCTTCTTGACTGATTGTGAGCTATTGTGGTTTATTAAGGAGGTTCTCTCCTATCCAGAGTATGGCCATGGATTCTGTTGAGAGTGATGGTGAATGAAGAGAACATATTCCTTGTGTATTGCAAAGCAAAAGATGTGTTTAAATACAAAGTAGTGGGCCTAGGCCCATAAGATAAAATAACCATAAGATAAAATTATATCTAACACTCCCCCTCAAGTTGGTGTATATAGATCATATGCACCAAGCTTGTTACAAATATAATCAATCCTAGGACCCCGTAATGATTTGGTGAAGACATCTGCCAACTGATCAGTAGAGTTAACAAACTGAGTAGTAATGTCCCCAGATAAAATCTTCTCACGAATGAAGTGACAATCTATTTCAATGTGTTTGGTCCTCTCGTGAAATACTGGATTTGAGGCAATATGCAGGGCAGCTTGGTTATCAC